CCTTTGCTTACTGCTCCTTGGGCCCAGGTAGGTCACAGGTATTCGGCAAGCATTTCACCACAGGGACATCACCAATGTCCTGTTAAAACAAAAGGTGCAGTGGGGTGAAAAGTATCTCTAATGATTCAAGGAAGATTGCAAAGGCAGGGGCCCAGACAACAGGGAGAAAGCCAGGCAGGCAGGGACAGACAGAGTAGGAGAGAGGGAGAGAATAACAGAGGACCAAAGAGAGAGGAGCTCATATTTGCTCCGGGCCTGCTGTGTGCCTTTCCCATCTCGGGAGCACATTCACATACCGAAGTGGAAATAACATCTCCACTCCAGGCGCCTGGGGCCCTGTGGGAATGTGGGCCAGGCTTACCCCAATCTTCCCAGTTTTCACAAAAAGCCAGACATTCAAGTTTCCATGTGATATCACCTCACCTGGAAAGTTTTTGGTAAAATAAACATGAAATTTACCACCATCAGCATTTTGGAGTGTATAGCCGAGGGACATTCAGTGTCTTCACACTGTTGTGCAGCCATCACCAGCATCAGCTCCACACTGCAAACCTGCTCCTGACCTTGTAGATGTTGGCAACACATTCAAAACTTGAAAAACACAGGGAGGGTCTAGTAGACTGTGGTGTGGGCCCATGGGGGCCATTTCGTGAACTCTGCATCTATCTCCTCATTGAGCCCACACATACCTCCTGGGGAGGCCGTGACTATGCCCCTTGCACAGATGAGGAAACTGAGGCTGGGAGAGGCAGACTCACTTGTGTGAGATCCCACAGCTGATGACAATGCAGAGCTGGGATCTGAGCTAGATTCAGTGTGACTCCCAAGCTGGTTCTTTGGGGAACCACATGGCCTTCTAACAAAGGTGGGAGTAGAGAGGGACAGGCAAGAGTGGTAGGATGAGGGAGCCAGAGGAATGTCCACAGAGTCACCTGGGGGAGAGATTGGCTTATACATTTGGGCACGTCTGATAGAGCCAAGTCAACTCAAGAGTGCCATTTATACTTTTCTTATATGATTCCTTGATGAATATATTTCTGTAAAATGCATATTATTTTAATCACACTGTGTGTGTGTGCGCGTGCGTGTGTGTGTTTCATAAGGAATAGAGCCCTGAGTTATATAGACTTGGAGACTGTTGGGTGCAGCAGCCTGGACTGAAACCCTCCATGAAGGGTGTGCCAGCTTGGCCATGCTGCTTCTCTGAAATGGGGACGAGGGCAGTGCACATGCACCTCCGTAACTTGTGGTGGAGGGAGGGAGCACAGCCGCAGCTGAGCCCCACACAGGAGGCATCCCCCGTGGGAATAGCTGGGATGTGATACTGCACGTGATGCCGGCTCATTAGTGGAGGCCTGGCCACAGCCTGCCTCACAGTCTCTGTATTTTTCTCTGGGGCCTCCAATTCATGAGATTTTGACTAATAATGATTTGGCACCTGCTCTATTCCCTACAAAGTGCTGGGGACACAGAAAGGGACAAGTCACTATTCCAAGCTTATGGTTTGGGGAAAATAGTGGGTGGAGTGATGGAGACAGACATGTAAGTACAGTTACAGCAGGACATGGTGCCTGGCGAGCACGGAGCTGTTAAAAGTGCATCTGGTCAGGGAGGGGGTCTGGCATCCAGCAACCTGCCAGACAGGGAAGATGCCCCTGAGGAGCCACATTGAAGCAGGGCATTGAAGGGCAGTTAGGGGCTGGCTGGGTGAGGTGGCGAAGGATACTTTGGGCACCAGGACAGCAGATGCAAAAGTGTGGTGACTGAAAAGCACCTGGAGTGAGCAGTGGAAGCTGATGGAGGGTCTTCGTGGGTGAGGTGGGAGGCTGTGAGGTGGGCTGGACAAGACTGGGGAGGATTCTGCACATCCAGCTGGGGAGTTGGAGCTTTATTTGAGCCTGGGGCCTTTAAGAGATTTAAGCATGAAGAGGATGAGATAAGATTTGCTTATGTGACGGTCACTGTGGCCGTGGGTGGGTGTGAGGGGAGAGCGGGGGGAGAGGGC